ATTGGTGTAAAACTAGAAGTCAGTTAGAATCTAGTTAAAATTCAATTGAAATCAATGGAATTGATGACTAATTAGAATTCAGTTGGAATGAAAAACTAATCCATTTGAAATACAACTAGCATCCAATTGCAAACCAACCAGGATAACTGGAATGCGATTAGATCGTAGATCCACAACAATTCAATAATTCCAAATTTATTTCAATTGAATTTTATACAACTGCAATTGGAATTTTACTGGAATATATTTAAAAATTAGTTGGTATCTTATTACAATCCATATAAGTACTTCTTAAATGTTATTTGTATATTATAGAAATACAATTATAATTATTCAATTGATATCTAATTGTAATCCATCGAAGTATAATTAACATACAAATACAATTCAAAAATAATTTAAATTAATTTTCCACAATTGAATTTGAATTTTGGAATTGGATAGCTACTAGAAGATAATTGGGATTTAATTATTGGAATCGAAATAAAAACAATTAGAATTCATCTACATCTAAATGAAATTCTTATGCAACTGGTATTTTATTGTTATACAACTTGATTTCAGTTGGAATCTAATTAACATAACAAAACTATAACTTTGTCTGCTCTTAATAACTAATCCATGCAGTACAAACATCATCATTTAGAAAATGAGTGTAGGCATAAATGCTATCCACATAAAATGAACGGGTTGCACACGATCAATTTACTATCAGTATTTTAAAATATTATAAAATATTTTGTCAGTATTATAGGAAGATTGAAGAAATATTGACCGTCTGACGCCCGTACTGTCAATATTTCATTAGTATTGAATGTGCCACGATGAAATCGCGCAATATTAGAGTCACCGGTTATATTCCCATCATTCCTTTTGATGTAATTCAATAAATTTGAATGAGTATATTTGAAAATACAGATTCAATGTCTTTTCCTCTGTTATTTGTTAGATAAACTTGAAAAAATAATGGTAACACAGCCTCTATTTTTCTAGAAGAGAAATCATGGAAAAACACATTCATACATTCGAACTTATTCAGTTAGTTTCTGCAAGTTGAAAAATATTGCTTAGGTAATGCACCAGCCTCTTAACTGATATTAGAGGCTGTAAGATAATAAAAACATATGTTATATCAAGTGTATTATTGGGTTTCTGACGACACTTCAACGTAACATGTATGCTACCGTTAAAAGTAATAATTGATGTTTCTGCAACACAATGTGTTATAAGCCAGTGACATGAGATATTAACGTCTTTTTAGTTTGTGGATTACAGCTACTCTGTGAGCTACATGCCTTGTCCAGCATTGGATTACTTACACAATATTTAGTAAACAGCTAAGAACATTCGTCAGCAACAATTTACTAGGCTTCAGCAGCTTGCCACGAGTGAGATGACTGACGAAAGATTTTGCTATTTGTTTGTCTACATATTTTTGAGTGTTGGTGAGATACACACTACAGGTCATTCTTTCTTAGCACCTACAGATTAGTAGGTAACTCTTAAAGTCTATTAAAAATATAATTTAAGGTAATGCGGACGTCTTAGACGTTTTATCAACTGTCAATAATAGTACTAGACCAGGGTCGATAATTTTTGAAACCAAAAAAAATTATAGTAGGATGAAACCCATTGGAAAAGAAAGAGAATATAACAGAAATGAAAGGAAACATAATTTACGGGCGATCTGAGGTAGGGGGTGAGTTTTTAAGGGTAAAAAACGGTTTTCCTTGATTTCCAGAAAAACTACAAGTCTTATGGAAAAAAGTTAAATGGCAAAGTTGTAGGTAATAAAAAGATCTACAACTTTTGCATTTACACTTTTTTCACATAACCTCAAAATTTATGTGAAAAATTCATATAACCAAGTTTTTGGTTTTTTATTTTTCTTTTACAAAAAAAATTTTTGTTTTACGAAATTTGGGAAAACTTACCTATTTATGTCCCAAACACGCTGTAATTTTTTTTGATTTGAAATATTTATTTTTTCACCTTATTTTTACTTAATATCGAAAAAGCACCCTAATTTTCAATCGAAAATTCTCACGTCAAAATATCTGCTTTTTTAAAAACGTCGGTGGGCTTTTTCTTCGTTGAAATCTCTACTTTCTGATGGTGTAAAAAAATATATACATTACTATGGTAAGTTTTCTCAGGAAATGCAAAGAAACGAACTAGAATCCGAAAATTTTTTTCTAATCATTATGTACAATTTTGAGCTATTTATTAAAATTTACACTTTAATTACTCGAAAAACGTAAGATTCCATGTTACATTGATAAACAAAAAAATTACAAGTCGAAATATACTATTATAATTAACAACCAAATAAGTTAATAAAGTTAATATTTAATAAGACATCTACAATATTTTGAGAAAGTTGTAGAATCTTCTTTCGTTTCTTTGCATTTCCTGAGAAAACTTACCATAGTAATGTATATTTTTTTTAACCATCAGAAAGTAGAGATTACAACGAAGAAAAAGCCCACCGACGTTTTTAAAAAAGCAGATATTTTGACGTGAGAATTTTCGATTGAAAATTAGGGTGCTTTTTCGATATTAAGTAAAAATAAGGTGAAAAAATAAATATTTCAAATCAAAAAAATTACAGCGTGTTTGGGACATAAATAGGTAAGTTTTCACCAAATTTCGTGAAAAAAAATTGTTTGTAAAAGATAAAAAAAAAACAAAAACTTGGTTATATGAATTTTTCACATACATTTTGAGGTTATGTGAAAAAAGTGTAAATACAAAAGTTGTAGATCTTTTCCATTTAACTTTTTTCCATAAGACTTGTAGTTTTTCCGGAAATCAAAATAAACCGTTTTTTACCCTTAAAAACTCACCCCCTTCCCCTTCCCGACCTCAGATCGCCCGTAAATTATTTTTCTTTTCATTTCTGTTATATTCTCTTCCTTTTCCAATGGGTTTCATTCTACTATAGTTTTTTTTCACTTTTTATCACTTTTGAAGGCTTAATTAAGCACTGGTCTATACGTAATATGTGGCAATTTGTTTTGCTAAATATAGAATATAAAAGCAGTCTACAAATATGTACTTTAGACCTAATTCTTATTAGATAGTAAGGTCCATATTCATAGTCGTTATTCCTTATTCCATATTCCGCTTACCATAAGGAATACGCAATAAGGGATCCTAGTGCCTCAAGGAACGACTATGAATACGGGTATAAATTAGTTTAATTCTTCATTAGATTCGTAGAAAACTTCATTACTATCAGTGCTCTAAATATGTAATTCCGACAGCAACAAAATATCGGAAGATATTAACAGCCTATTGATCAGATATCTGGTTATGATCACGAGCGAAGTTTTTCTTGTAAATTGTTCTAGATACCTTGATTTGTCGTTTCTAGCATCTTCTGCCTCTTCTGAAAGCTGATCTATTAGAAGAATGCAAGAAGTGATCACAAGTGTGCCAGTACATGGAGTGTGTAAAGGAGATGATACAAAAGTTAATGACTTTATTATATCTATAATTTTTAATTAGCTCTGGATCTCTTACTAATGACACTGGTAGGGAAAAACTACTCTGCGGACTACGGCCCAGTCCAGCATTGAATTACTCACAATATCTAGTAAACAGCTAAGAACATTTGTCAGTAGTATCACCAGATATAGACATGTATATCTCTATGGAGTTCACAGAGTAATTGCTTCTTACAATATCATTGGTTAGAAACTTCATTTCTGCTAGTAAGACACTAGTCATACTTTTGTATTACAGGTTGGTACGCACAAAGATTAGACAGATTTGTGCCAGTAGGCATTGAGTACCAGAGACAATTAAGATAAATAAGTCTAGCACAAAAATAGATGATGACTATGATAATTCTGCAGTAGGAGTTATATCGTCAAGTGGAACATACACAGGGATCAACAGTGTCAACTTTCTGTTCTGCTAAATTAGTTATTTGCTTTGCAGTTGATTGGTCAAACTGAACAGGGAGGAGAATTCTACCAAATACTAAACAGATGTTTATGGGGTGAATTTTTATTTGCGAATTCTCGTTTATAGCGCTCGTGCTGTCACTCACTCATCCACATTTATCATCACACCATCATTTCACAACAAAATAAAGTATATTGGGCTATGCTACGTATTCTCAAATGCGTCATTACGTGCTTTACTCAATCTTATAATTGTATCTCCAGCAGTGACTGTAAGGAAACTTTAGGGTATATTTTAGCGATCACAACATTTGTAGGATTTTATTTCTTTGTTTCCTTAACTGCATTATATTTAGGATATACCTATTATAGAAGTAACTTTGTTTACTTGATTTTACTTTATTATATTTGCATCAATCATTAATACTAATACACACTAGGTCTTAGTAGACAAAGTTTTTTCTGTACAAATAATTTTTATCGTTTTTTTCATTTTTGTCGACAAAGTCAATTCCTCAACAGTGTTGATTCAGCCCCTCTTTCTACGTACGTTTTTATCTCAGTAACTGTGGACAATCAATCCATCTATGAAAACTGACTCGGAGAAGAATCTAAGTTTTTGAGTTTTTAGCTTTTTTATATACTCATCCACTGTTGACCTACTGGGACGAAAAGATGGTTCATCTTTAGAAGTTGACAATAATGACTGGTAACCACTTCCAGGAAAGTTAATTTGTTGGTAATTATTCCGTACTACTTTTTACGACGTCTGCGGCACTTATTTTATTTTGTTTTGCTCTTCTGTCACAGACTTTTCAAAAACAGTCTTTTTCAGAAAAAGCCCCTTTAAATTATATTATAGACTTTTTTTACTTTAGAAACACCGATTTGTTTTAAACTTATTTAAGGTGACGAATTTCGTGTTTATCTACATATTCATTTTAAAGGTTAATTTAAAATTACCGCCACGTAACGGTACCATTACTGTCTGGTCACTCCTAGTGGAAGTACTTTCTAAAAGAGATACCTGTCTCTGCGATGGCTGTCGGCTTCACCTGGCCTACTGCGTTCAGTAGACACCGTGCGATTCGCCATAGCGCCGGAGCGAGTATGGCGGTTATATTTTACGTACCAATATGACAGAAACGGGATTCATACCAGTGTTTACTTTAATGACTATATTTGTCTTTCCTATGGTAATTAAATAGTGAACCGGAATACAAATTTTGTTGAAGGTGCGTCGGTCGGAGACTGCAGTGATAGGTTACGACAGAAAACTAATATGTTTATTAGAAATTGTTTCTGCAGATTAATGTTTGTTATTGTGCACAGTTCGTAGAAAATAGACCAGTGGGATTTAAAATGGGAAGGATTATCTGTTCCGTACTGCTTTCTTTTTGCTGGATCTTCGTAGAAGGTATGTGGAGAAAGCATATCATTAATATAAAATATTTATTGCAAAACTGCAGCGGCACCAAACGTGTATCATTACTTTCTCTTCAATTTCGGTTTAGAATTCGTTTTGTGGTGGCCGTTTTTCAAATAATTTCTAAATAGATACACACAATTTATATGTAGGTATTTAATAATGATTTTTATTTACCCATACAATTTATCGAATCGTTTTTCTATCTTTTAAAACTATGTGTCCCAGTTTTATGTTCTCATATTGTTGTTCCAGTTCACTTATTAGTCCTATTCACTGAGTTTAGTGCTGATTCATATTTATTTTTATTATTTATATGCGTCTAAAGCAAGATTGTCTGTATTTATCAAGTGAGTTCATCACACTACACTACTTCTCACGGCTACCTTACTGCGTAATAATTATTTTCTTACAACTTCTTATAGAGGAATAAGGAGTAGGTACCCGATTTCTTGCGTACCTACAAGTTGAATACATAGATACATTTATTATAAGTAAAGTCATACTTTTTTAACTTTTTACTTACTCTATGAATATTGCGAAATAAGTGGATCATTTGATCATATACAAGAAACAAAAGTACTATTTTTTCCTAAAACGACTCCTAAGATATGGTCCTCCAAAGATGGAATGGAAAATACCGTTTTTACTCAACTACTTAAGAACAGTTGAGGGGTAAAATTTTTAAACTTGGTACAGTTTGGTTATGAAACGGTAGATACCTACTTGTAAATTTTAGCAAAATCTAACTAGAATGTCAAAATTTACACAACTTAGTATGTATGTGCCTAACTCTGTCGTGGTTTTAGTAAATGTTACATTCTACGAACAAATCTATAAAACAAAATTCTTATATCGAATCAAATAATTTTCCTTTTAACAGCACATCAGACCTCTTTTAATTTTGACGTGACTGGTTAACTTCAATCAAATTTTACATGTAGGAAGCTGCTATTGAAAGTGAACTGTTTCAAATTTGAAGTCTACATATTCTACCATTCTTAAGTAATTAATCAAATATTTTGTTCCTCGTCCAATGTTTGAAAAATAATTACTTTCGTTTTTTTTTGTTTGTTTCAACGAGAAATATTAGCCATGAAAGTTTGTTATAACGTCGCTGTTACACAAACTAATGAAAATGGCAAGAAACACATTGAATTTAGAAAAATTACCTTACTTACAACTTAAACAATTACTAAAAATATTATAAGTGAATGATGATCAAGTGTCGATTAATATTAAAAAAAAACTAAAATTAAAAAAATTGTAATTCCAAAATACATGTATGTTTTTTTCGCTTGCAAACCTCAGATCTCAAATAGAAATTCTCAATTACAGTCGTACATATTATAGATGAGCAAAGGAATTACAAGATAATTATAATTTACATATTTTGTCATCTTCTGTATCCGACGNGGTCCGTCGCGCGGACGACCGGAAACGCGGAAAATTCGAGGGGAAAACGCGGGAAAGCCCGCACCGGATCACCCCTAAGCAACGCGGCGAGAACGACGGGTCGCTTCGCGACCCGAATCTCGCGGCTGCGCCGCTCGCCGAGGGAGCCTTTGATATGGGAACGCGGCCCTTTTTCGGGGGCGGGCGTGCGAGCGAGAGTGCCCCCCACGTTTTAATATATATGATTGATTTTAGTGTGACGTCATATGTCATATTGTGAGACAACTCACAATTGTCATAGTTGAAATTGTACAGATCGAATCTGACCCTTGTTTAGTATTTACATAGATTATATAGAAATAAAGAACTTCAAATTAACTTATTTTTACAAGGATTTAGAAGTATTTAAGAACAGCCAACAAGTGTTTCGTAAAATAGATACACTAATGTGCTTAAAACAAAAAAAGACGATATAAAAGAATATTCTTAAATTTAAATAAAGTAAAAATTTAACATTAACCGTGTTACGCCTAATGCGTATGTTCAGGAAGAATAGCCTAATACGCAGGTGAAATCTTGTTGATTTGTCGTCGCTGTCATCATTAGCGTGTTTTCTTTCGTTTGTTTAATCTTGGCATTTTCTAGTTCTACCAAGTATTATTATTGTATTTCTTGTGCTGTGCTGTGTCGGTCTATTTATCTTTTTTTCTTCAAGTGTTTATTACAGACGTACTTTTAAGCAGAACCAAACTTTTCTTGCGTGGCTACTTCGCTTTCATGAAATTATCTTTAATGCGCATGCTTAGTACCATGGATATAATTTTAATTTATTAATTACTATAAAAGTCAATATTGTTCCTATAAATTTAAATATATACGTTCTATAACTCGTTTAGTTTGTCACTTGGGGTTTTAAACTTCTTAAATATTTCTAATATTGCCAGAATATTGCTATATTTAAGGCCATTACAAAGAAGACATTTTTTTAACACTTTAAGGTCGAAAATCGCTTTATTAAAAATACTGAGAAATTCTTCATGACAATGTGTACTATGGGGTTGCCTATTATTTGACGTATGTGACGTCAGTACTAAAAAGGTTTATTACGATAGACTTTTATAGTGTGACATGACGTCCAGATTTAAGCAACCCGCAATAAATTGTCATAATTGAAATTGTATAGACCGAATCTGACACTAAGTGTGTACTATTTAAATAGGTACTATAAAAATAAACAATTTCAAATTAATTTATTTTACAAGAATTTAGAAGTATTTAAGAACAACCAACACTTTTTTTGGTAAAATAGATACACTAATGTGCAAACTTACAAAAAATTATATAAAAGAATATTCCTAAGTTTAAAGAAAGTAAAAATTTAACATCAGCCGTGTTATTCCTAATGCGCATGCTCGGAAGGGATAGCCTCATACCCAGGTGAGATCTTGTTGATATGTCATCGCTGTTATCATTGACACATTTTTATCTTGGCATTTTCTAGTTCTGTATCAGTGTGTTTATCGAGTGTTGTTTTCTTCAAGTGGTTTATTATAGACGTACGCTCAATCTTAACCAAACTTTTCTTGAATGATATCCTGTTGCGAGGCGACTTCGCTTACATTGAAATATTTTTTTATGCGCGTGCTCAGTAACATTGATATAATTTTAACTTATTAATTGCTATTGTGGGTACACATGCCGCAAGTGACCCGTTTTAAGTACAACGTCAATAGCGCCATCCTGACGCCCGGATGCACCAGGGTTCCCGGAAGACGACCCCGGCAGATTGGCGCCAAGGACCAGGTACTTCTGCTAGTGACTCTACACCAAAGGGGACTCTCCAGCAAACACTCGATCCGACAACACGCCTTTTTTCACAGGCTTAGTTTTTCAATAAAAATAGTTTATTTATACCGTTGAGAGAGCGTTTTATTTTTGCGGTACAGCGAAAGCAACCCTCACTATAAAAGTCAATATTGTTCTATAAATTTAAATATACAAATTCTATAATTTTTTTAGTTTTTCATTTGAGGTTTCAAACTTCTTAAATATTTCTAATATTGCCAGAATATCGCGATAACAACGAAGACATTTTTTTGGCACTTATGTCCAAGGTACATAATGTCGAAAATCGATCTAGTAAAAATATTGGGAAATTCTTCATGATAAAGTGCACTATGGGGTTGCTTATTATTTGGCGTATCTGACGTCACTACTAAAAAGGTATATTACTTAAACGTATTTACCGTCTGGTAGAGTCCAAACTGCGTAAGATCTTAAATTCACTGAAAATAATTTCACTCATAAATAATCTTGGAATTTCCACTATGTTATTATTACCATGTAACTTTTTTTAGTTAATATTTAATGCCCATGGAAAATGTTCGTTTTATGACGCCTTCAGATTAGCCATAGTTTTTCTAGCTATGAGTTTGACTTTGATGAAAATGATAAAAAATAATTTGATCTCTCCATCTATTTAAAAAATATTTTCAGTAAAATTAATATTCTGCATTTTTATTTGCTTGTTATATGTATGTATGTCGGAGGGGTGGTGGAATTGTCTTCTACAACGGCACTTAGGCCTTATTAGGCCCCTTGTACACCCTCCTTCATTACTCGAGTACTTTTCTTCAATTTACTACACGGATGGCTTGGTGGCAAAGTCTCGTACAGTTTATGTATGATAGCATGGTCTTGAGTTACAGAGATTTCTTGCTTGTCATAATAAATATCTTCAGAATTGTGAATTAGAGAAATAATTAAATTATAATATCCTTTACATATTGGGCATCTTGTAAAAATATTCAGTAATTCATAAAAGTATTCTGTGGGGTGTGATAAGTTTATGGTACTTACCGTACGCGATTTTCTGTATATTCAACAGGCGTGTAAAGTTCATCAAATATAATGATAAACATAAGAATTAAAATCATGCTTTTTTTCTTTATTTTGAATGTATTGTCAGCTCGTAAACTCTCTTACACCCCGGAGCAAACTTGTATAACTGGCACAGTGAAGAGATATATTTTCTAAATTGCATAGATTTTCTTAAACCCTCGCCAAAAGACTACAAAATCATTGAAAATTATGCATAAAAACGCCCTCCTTAAGGAATTATGTAAATCCATTTTTAATAGTGACTGACTCCTAATGATACAAAAAATAAGTATTTATCAATGATGTTAATTATTAACTAATTGTATCTGAGTATAGATTGTGTTTTGTCTTAAATTACTCTGTTCTCTTTTTTTCCGACTTTCACTTAATAATATGATAATCTACAGCTTGATAAGCGTATAGTTGTCTTTCGCTTCTTACAATTATTAATAGAAGAGAAAGTTGCTATATGCTTCTGTTTACATTAACACCAGGATTCGAGGCACTTGATTTCGCAAAACGCCAACCAGGATATCCATATTTGTTTAATTCAAAGTCACCTTTTTAATCTTTGTAGTCGCATAATAAATAACTTGTACATACATTTAAATAACTGCTATATTTCATATAATTATGTATCCAGTAAGGTAAGTAAGCAATTAGCTTCAATTTATAGAATGACTAATTATCTATTTCAAACAACTTTTTGAAGAAAA